CCAGTGTCTAACGCCATGAATCAGATGGAGCCTGTGCAGTATGTTCAAAAGATTTGTTTTACCTGGTGATATCTGCCAATCTTGACATGAGAATGTTTGCGGATCATACCATCAGTAGGTAGGAGCTACAGAGACAAGAGAATAAACCTCATCACTCTGAAATCAACTGGGAGTAGATCTAAGCTGATGATAAAGATGCCTTACCTCTCCCATAAGCAGCTTCAGAAGTGTAGATTTCCCAGCTCCATTGGGTCCCACCAGAGCCACTCGCGTGTCCAAGTCAATACCAAACTCCAGGTCTTTATATATGTACGGCTAAAGGAAACAAAAATCACTAAGTGTGCCAAATAAATCCATATTTTAAAAGGAGGGGAAAATATAAATGCATTATACTCACTGTATTCTCACTGTACTTGAAGCTCACATTCTGAACCATGATAACAGGAGGAGGAATCTTCCCACAGGGAGGAAAATAAAATGACAGAGTCTGTGGGAAACAGGAAGGGTTACTGCTAAGTTGGTAGGTTTCACCACTAACCACAGTCCCTAAAAACACATACATTACTGATCCAGAAGTTGGAAAAACAACTGCCTGGCTGCAAGCTGAGCAACAGTTTCAAAGGTTGTAGAATAGGAGGCAGAATATTCCCTCTTGTCAAATCAGCTTTCATATTAGATTCAGGAAACCCTCTTCCTGTTAAAGGGAACTTCTTCCTTCCCACTGTCACCAATTGGAGCTCCAAGAATAATCTGATTGACTGGGTTCTCTCCCCGATATTTCAGGCTCTTTACAGTTTAAACTGGCTTGTGACAACCATTGTTGTGAACTGATACTATTAAGTTAAAAAAAAAGAAGAAAAAAAAAAAGATAAAATTTAATAGGCCACAGTTACTGTACCTTGTCATTCACGACTCTTTCAGTCAAGCCTGATGCAACCATCTTCTGCAGAGTCTTCTCTTTGCTCTGTGCTTGTCGTGCCAGTTTTGCAGAGCCGTGACCAAACCTGGCTATGTAGTTCTAGAAAATTGGGATGCAAAAAAGATAATTGAGTGCAAATGTTACTGTGTGGCTATAGCAACAGTAACTGCTTCATAAAAGGATGCCCAAGTCTCTGTACCAATCAGGCAGTGACACGTGGCCACATGATGTCCCTTTTTTACCTTCATGTGTGCTATCTGGTCCTGTTCCCAGTTAAAGCGCTTCATCTGGTTCTCTTCCAGTTCCTGTCTGGTCTTCACATACTGGTCATAGTTACCCTTATAATGAAAATAGATTTGCACTGTCATCCAACAGGGTGGCACATATATATTTAGTAATAGCCTGCCTCTGGTTTCCTTATTCAGCATTATGTGATTACATGTATAGCAATCTATTCATGATACTTGGAAGCCTACAAAGCATGCTCAGGGTGTTTTCTGGCAGTCACTTCAGCTGCATGCCCTTACCGTGTAGTACTTCAGTTTCTTCTGATGCAGGTGGATGATATTGGTACACACACCGTTCAGGAAGTCTTGAGAGTGTGAGATGAGCACGAGGATTCGCTTAAACCTGACAAAAACCATCAAGTTGATCAAAAATGAGTCTTAATCCATATCCGACTTAAATGAAGGAAGCAGAGGGAAAACTTACGACTTAAGCTCCTCCTCCAACCACACGCAAGCATCCAGGTCCAAGTGGTTAGTGGGCTCATCCAGCAGCAGCATGAAGGGCTTGATGAACAAAGCCCTACAAAGATGTCAAACAGCTGAATTTAAAGCAATACTGATAGTTTGTTTAGATCAACTCCTCAAATCTAAAGCTCAGAACTAGTCTCGAATGCTTGTGCTTTCACATTTTAAAATTACAAAAAGCCCTTTGCTTTGTGTGCGATGGATGAAGATCTTCAGGATCAAAGATCTTTAATTGGTCTTTCTGTACTTTGAGATTTACACCAGGACATATATCCAACTCCAGCAACTGTGTCTGAGTGCACACACAAGTAATATGAAATGTGTTCTTGAAGCACCTTTATTATGAAATGAGCAAAACAATAGGAATGTTGGTTTTGGTTCAATATTATAGTGAATTTGAATATCAGTTTCACACTAGTTTATCTCCTCTCCACATTATAACACAATATTGTATAGGCAGGGCACAATGAAGATCAAGAGACAGGCGAGATATTTTACACAAAACAGACTGAAATGTTAGGACTTAATACCACTCTGGCTATCATGCCAATACCCTATTAGTCATCCAAATGATTCCATTGTCAAACTGGAGATGCTAGAAACATGATAGTCCGCAGTCTGTGTCACTCACACCAGATCTACTGAGACCACTGTTACACATCACAGAGGGTTCATACTGCTACCTTAATGGATACATTATCACCTCATCCCCCTCCCTGTATTGGTTATCGTGACTACACAGAGGAAATTATAACTTATGCCCACTTTAGTTTCCTGTATGGTAGTGAAGTCAGGACACAATGCTACAGTTTGCGTTTATCGTGTGCGTTTTTCTGTCATTTGGACAAGGGACACAGGATCAGTCGAAAGCTGGAGAGACGAGGATGACCATAACTCAGTGGTACAGTACTATACGAGCTGTATCTACCTGGCCAGAGCAACACGCATCCTCCACCCTCCACTGAAGTCCTTCAGTTTCTTCTGCTGCATCGCAGTGCTGAAACCCAAACCGTGGAGGATCCGAGAGGCTCGCATCTCCGCCTTGTCTGCATCCAGCTCCTCCAGACGCTCATACAGCTCCATCAGCTTCTCACACTCAGCTGTTTACAAAAAAAAAAAAAGGCATTTATAATATAGCTAAAGCATAATTAGAGAGATTTTTCAACTTCCTGCAGTTTATTTGAACACTCACAGTCTTCATGGGCAAGTCTTTCTGCCTCCTTCTCCAACATGATCCTCTGTTCATCCACCTCCATGACACACTGCAGAGCAGTCTTTTCGCTGGGGGCCATCTCTCGGGTCAAGTGGTAAATATCTATGTGCTCTGGAATGGGAATCTCACGATGTCCGATGGCTGACAACAGCATGGATTTTCCTGGCAGAAAACGGGAAAATAAATAAATAAATAAATAATAGAGAGAAAAATGTTTTGTGGGATGTGATATAAGAACATTTGACAAATGCAAGCTACACAAGGAAGTGTAGCAGAACCAGTGTTGATAAGAGATTCCCTACTGGCCACTCCCATGGGCCTCAGGTGGGCCATAAAGCTGCCAAGATTTCTGCTTCAACTTTCTAATGCTTTTACACCCTTCCATCTGATGTGTCAGTCACCAGCATCTTTCTCTCATTGGCACTTGCTTCAAATCCTTAAAACTCAGGAAGGTTTAATTTGGGTTCCAACCATTTCATGTTGTCATTTCCCTGTCATTGGTTGAAGCCTAATGTCAACTTTATATAATTCCTGTAATATGAACCCTTTAATATCATCAGTTATTCAGGTTTTTCCCTTTGGCCTAAAGGGCCAGATGGCCAAATGAAATACTAGGTTTTGAAACAGCTGGGGTTTTTTTTCCTTTTGGTTTCTAATGTCTGTGTGTTTAAAGTCTTAATAGAAACATACTGCTCCAAGATAAATTAGTTACCTGTGCCATTAAGACCAATGAGGCCATAGCGTCTGCCTGAGTTCAGCTCCAGGCTGGTGTCTGCAAGCAGCTCTTGACCATGGAAGGTGAGCGACAGGCTGCTTATATGGACATCAGTGCTGTTAGGGTGGGAGGCAAGAACACCCGTCACTGCCCGGGCCTCCGTTTTCCGCAGCTCAAACTCATCCAGCTCCTTTGTCAAATTTTCAACACCTATCAAATATATTTAAAGAAAACAAGAGAGCTTCAGTTAGAAAATTTACCACAGGCTGACAAATCCAGTGAGCAATCAGTGCTTTTCCTCAGTCATCTTCTCACCATTGCTCTCTGCTCCATTAAGCTGGGCCTCTTGTTGTTCACTCTCCCCATTTACTTCTTCAGTTTTCTTGGTGCGCTGGCGAGCTTTGGCAGCCTCCTTCTTCTTTGCTGCTTTCTTCTTAGCCAGATCAGACGGCATGGTTGTGCAGTGCTACATTATAGGAAAAGAAAAACACAGAAATGATATGGATGAAGAAGAAACTAAGACCAAAATAGAATCGCAGTGTGTCAGGAGAATCGTGATCATAGGTTGTTTAACGGTTTCTCAATTTTCCAATTGGTCTTACTCTACCAGTTAAATGTCAGGATATAAATAAGGGTAAAAATGACTAATCGCTTACATAATGAGGCGCCAGGACCAACCTCGGTACACTTGCCTGTTTACCATGTTAAAAATGTGCCGGTAATTGAACTCACCGTATAACACCATTTTACAGATTACATTAAAAAGTAGGCTAACTTTGAGTATAAAGGCCTAAAATGTCTAAGGACAGCTAAATGACAGTAATAGCGGGGATAATGCTCCCTCCCCAAACCCGCATTTTGTTTCCTTTCAGTCCCACCTGCCCGCACGTTGGGCTTTTTGCGGTATAACGCATGATAGCATAGCTGTTAGCAGCCTACACGTCACACTTTGTCATTTCACAGTTAACCAACCATAATAAATATCATGGTCTAAGGAGCCCAGAGTGTCAAACATAAAAAGTAAATCGTAATAGTTTTTATAAGCCGGCTATTTAGCGCGTTAGCCCCTTAGCTAAGCTAACAACGGTAGCCAGGCCTGAGCAGCTAAAGCTAACTTGACGCAGGGCCCCAAGTAGCTTCGAAAAACTCTCAAATCGGCTAACTAGAACTTACCCCCACATCTGTGTTTATCTTAAAATAAAACAGCTTACATGTCATACAACCGTGGCAGCTCTCATACAGTGTTATTCCCTCTCTTACCTAAATAATGAACCGCTGTTCTCCTGAACACACCGACAGTCTCGTGTCCACTTTCGCCGGGTGGATGTAGCCGCTCGCCAAGCCGCCAGACGGACCATATATGGTCAAGGAGGGCGGTGAAGATGTAAGTTCCCTCCTCTTCTCGTGGGACTGCAGTAAAAATGTCCCTTTACCCGTCAATTGAACCTTAAATTAACTACTAAATAAGCCAAATTTATATATTTCTTAGGTAGAACTAAAGAGACGGCTTATGAGTTGAAAACTGGCACTGACTAATGGGTAGATATTGCATTTATGAGGTTTTGCCATCCTAGTAAGGCTTCTTTTGCCCTCTTATCACTAAGATGTTGTGTTGATACGTATCTAACACATTCGTGCGTTCAATGTGATTTTCTAGGAGGAATTTATTTTTAAGTACTGCTTTCACTAAGAAGAGATCTGCCGGTAGCTGCTCAGTCGGGGGGTGATGCTGCGGCAGCACTCGGCGGTCGGTGATGAGGTTGAAGAGGGACGCTGTTTCAGCGCTGTCTGTGTGGCACTCGGATTTTTTGAGGAAGTCAGGAAACTGACGGAGATGGGCGACAATGTGCACGGCTGTGCTTCGTAGCTTTCCCCCCCGGTATGAGCTGTGTTACATGGGATCTCCTTCGAGTCAGCATTCGTGGAGATGGATCGTCGTTTGTGTACGGAAACAACGGACTCGACGCTAGCTCGCTAGCTGGGCTCCCTAATGCTTTCCTCTGGTGGAAAACGATACTGTGGAGTTCATACTTCCGAGTATTCTCGCTTCGGGTTGTCTTTTATTACTGGTAACCAGATAAACGGTTAACTTTACTAGTTCATCGTCTAGCTGCATTAGTTAGCTGACTTTGGCTTCTAGCTAACGCCATCCCAAACTAGTTAAGCTAATTAACGTAACGGTTAAAAAACCACCAGAGTAACGTTACACAATTTTTATGACAACGACATTTCTGAGTTTTTCTTCCCTTTTTGTTATCTTAAATTTTGACTCGCAATGACTGTTAATCATGCGAAAATATCTGTATGCATTTCATCTTTCAGATGAACAAAGTGCTTCATTCCGGTAGCTTTACAGTTTGGTCATCTTCCGTTGTGACGTTGGATTAAAAACTACATTTCTTGCATTTGTCAAACAAAAAAAACATTTAAAAAGTGCTGTAACATGTAACGTTTAGATTTAATCATTCGTTATAGGCTGAGTAGAAACTTCACTACCTCGCTGAAAGGGACTGGGAACAGACTTTAATTTTAAGCCAGTTTTCTGTCATTTTCTTTACTCATTTCGGTTCAGATTTATCAAAGACGTGTTAACATATGGCAGGAGTGTTGGCACTATCAGTGCTCTAGTTTTTTGTTGTTGGGATTTTTTTTTTAAATTTTTTCCCAGCACAGCCACAATAAGTGTAGCTCATAACTACCAGGGATGCGTCTCTCCTCATTTTTGGCCCTGTTCAGGCCTGCTTTACCCCTTATCCTGGGGCTGTCTCTTGGATGCAGTCTGAGCCTTTTGATGGTGTCCTGGACCCAAGGAGACACGGAGGACTCCTGTGGAGATGAGCTGGGCAATGGCAGGCGGTTTTTGGGTGGGGGAGAGGGCCACAGAGATTCAAGAGATGGAGCTGGAGACGCAGACTTTCAGCCACGCATAGTGCCCTATCACAAGGACCCAAACAAGCCGCACAAGAAGGTCCTCAGGTAAGTGCGGGAGGTATGGTCACTGTTTCCAGGTGCTTAAAGAAGGATCACAGGAAGCATTGCTCGACTTTTAATTGAAAGAAGCTGGAGACTTTTTCCACACAGTGTGAATTTGCATTTAGTTAATTCCCCATTTTACATTCTTACATTTAATTCCCCCCTGCAATGCTCTCATTGCACTGAGGGGGGTACAGAGAATAAGTGGCCTGTAGATTACAGATTATGCCACAAATTCCTCCAGAAAACCCACTGATGCAAAAGATTGCATCCATTTTCTTTTTTCAATTTTCTTTCTTATCTTTTTTATTTATTTCTACTGGCTCTGATAGTCATCCCACAAGGATGATCAGGTTTTCTCTGTCAGTGCAACCATTCCTTGGAATAATCTCCCAGATGAGATCTGATTGGCCAGCTCACTGTGGTCTTACAAATGCTTCTTACAGACATATTTTTAAAAGCAGGCCTCTCCTGTGCTTACACTTTTTATTTCTATCAGTCCTCTTTAATTATTGATATTTACGTTCAATTTGATGTTTCATTTGCTTTTTTCCTTTTTTCTGTTGTGAAGCACTGTAATTATTATTGTCATTATTTAGCAGGGTCATCGCCAATTTTGGAGGGGGGAGATATAATAGAACACCTCATCGATGGGATTTTGTGTACAAATTTAATCCTACTATCATTGAATTTGTTCTTTTTACAGAGATGATGAATTTCAAGCAAATTCAAACTTTTAGAATTTTATGTGGAACTTTAGCTACTCTTTTGAAGCTCCTTAAAGTAGCAGGACCTCAAAACTTAACTGACATAGCTTAAGTAGTTCTCTAGATATAGTTGCGTGTAAATGCCCCCACAGAAAATACTGCCCATAAAAGGCTTAAAAATACCACTGACATCATTGCAAAAATATATATTTTATATAGTGTTATTTCAGCTCATTTACTGGTTCTTTTGAAAACATCATGCATGCTCATTTTTACTACTTAATAAAATGTATGATTTACCAAGCCATTCCTAGAAGTGAAGGAGTCAAGGATGCTTTCCAGGGATCATCTGCATTTGGATATTAACATTTTGGGATACAATAGGTAGATTATTGCTATAAAGTGATAATAAAAGGGGACTTGGTACGGAGAAGTGTGGGACTCCTGTAGAACACGCAAAAAAAAGGAGATTTGATAACATCCATAGCATAGATTAACATTTTCTGCAGAAAAATTATATAGTGCCAATTCAGATAAAATAACTTGGTATCAAATTCCTTCTTTAAATCCAAAAAGACACCACCTACACAAACATTTCTATCCAATTATCTTTTATTTCACAGCCACTTAGTATCTGCATCACATTAGTATCTTGTGATGGAAACAAGTTCACGCTTATGAGAAGATACTTTTTATGCATCGGTGTTCTTGCTGTTTGCTGTAATTGCTCCCTCTTTGCCCTCTTTCTTCAGAACACGATACATCCACACTGAACTGGGCATCAGAGAGCGACTCCTGGTGGGCGTGCTCACTTCTCGGGCCACCCTCAACACGCTGGCCGTAGCGGTGAACCGCACAGTTGCCCACCACTTCCACCGGACCTTCTTCTTCACAGGCCTGCGCAGCCCCAAGGTGCCTCACGGGATGACTGTGGTTGCCCATGGCGACGATCGCCCGGTGTGGCTGATGTATGAGACGGTACGCCACCTCCACCAGCACTACGGCTCGGAATACGACTGGTTCCTATTAGCCCAGGATGACACGTACATGCAGGCGGATCGGCTGTCGGAGCTGGTGGGCCACCTCAGCGCAGGTCAGGACCTGTATATGGGCAGGGCAGAGGAGTTCATCGGTGGTGAGGAGAAGGCACGTTATTGCCACGGAGGCTATGGCTACCTGCTGTCCCGCAGTCTGCTTGCCCGTCTGCAGCCCCATCTCGACACCTGCCGCAATGACATCCTCAGCGTGAGGCCTGATGAGTGGCTGGGCCGCTGTATTATCGACTACCTGGGTATGAGTTGTGTGGAAGTGCACCAGGTAAAAACACAGACTTTGAAATAAGTAGTTTAATCAGTAGGAGGATTGTCCGCTATATAAATATTTATATGTGCATGTTTTTCGCAGGAGATGACCTACCGTTATTTTGAGCTTGGGAAAAATGCAGATCCAGAGCGTGAAGATAGCCCAGAGTTTAAAAATGCCTTCACAGTGCATCCTGTGTCTGACCCAAATCTCATGTATCGACTGCACAAACGCTTCAGCCACATTGAGCTAGAATGGACTTACCTGCAGATCCAGCAGCTGCAGGTTTGTAATACAGGTTTTGTTTTTCGCTCCTATAAACATTTTTTTCTGCCTGACTCATCACTTCTTAGTCAAAATTTAGTATACAGTTTGTTCTTATTTCACCACACCCTCTTCAGGACCTGAGTCAGTAATTCCTGACTGAAACAATATTTATATGCCAGAAAACCAAGAGAAGGGATGTGGTGTTGTGCCGAGTATGATCTGCCTGAGAAACCTTATGTAACTAAAGTAGCTGCTAATGACAGTTCATTAGAGTTGTTTTGACTTAAGGTTAAATATAGCTTACCGCACGACAGAGCTGTAAAATAAGTCATGACTTTATTAGACATAACTTATTGTTATAGCTAATTTTTGTGTATACTGGTTAAAGCACAAGGAACACTTGATACAGTACAGTACTGTGCAAACGTTTTAAGCCACCATTCATTTACTTACAGTTTACTACAAAAGTGGGAAATACTGCAGCATGCAAACATACATGGAAATATAGTATAAGGCAAAAACAGAGTTTGTACAATTCTAATGGCTTTTAATGCTTTTAATTCAATTACAGTGTGGTTGGAATCATGGTCATGCTGAAAAACCCAAACTGCTGCCAATTAGATATTTTCCACATGATACTGTATGGTGGATCAAAATCTGATGGTACTTTTTTGTGTTCATGATTTGACAAGATCTCCAACACCACTGGCTGAAATGCAGTCTGTATATATTGACAATGATTTAAACCAAAAATGTCAAATTTGGATTAATCACTCCATAAACTGTTTTCAGTTCGGTTATTGTGTAATTTGGCATTTCCTCCCTGTTTCTCTTCCTTAATCAGATGGATAATCAAAAAAATGACCTGTGACATCCTTTTCCAAATCAACTTCGCTCGACTGTGATGGAAAAAACTGTGAGGGAAGGGCCGTAAAAAGACTTGGCTTAGACAAGGCTATTTAATAATTTCATGATGGATGTTGATGACAAGTGTCTGCCCATCTTAGATACTTTGCCCAACATGTTCTTACCATCTTCTTTTCTGCAGGTCATATAAAAGAACCATGGGGGAAAGGGGCTGCATTTTCAAAGGACATAAATAGATGTTAGTTGCTCATCTTGTCAACTCGTGTTTTCTCTTTTGCTGGAGAAATGATCCAGTCTAACTCCCTACATTCCTCACGCAAGACAACAACTTTATAGGAAGCAGGTTTTATCACAACAATACAGCGTTCCCCTGTGGGTTTAACAGCCTGTCACTGAGGATGTTAAACATATCAGGTTATGTCATGAAGCACACTTTTAATTAACATTTACATGATCTGTGTCACCTGTCAGTTATGTTGATTATCTTTAGTGATAGTTGGGTTGCTGTGAATTCTTTTCCTGTATGCTCTGCTAATAAAGGAAGAATGTTTCATTTATATTTTGAGAATTTTGAAGCTCTTATCTCCTGCATTTTGGCTGTAGGTGACATATTGCTAGACACATCTGATGCTTTTCAAATTTTTGTGTGCACTCATCAGATGCAGATCAGTAACCTGAGTGACCTGACACCAGAGGGCAAGGCTGGAGTGACGTGGCCGATAGGAATCAACCCTCCCTTCAAACCCAGGACGCGTTTTGAGGTCATAAACTGGGAGTACTTTACGGAAGAGCACATTTACTCCTGCGTCGATGGCTCCCCCAAATGTGAGTTGAGAGGTGTCAACCGCGCAGACGTCAATGCAATTCTAGAGATTGCGGTCGAGCGTCTAAACGAGCGCTACCAGCCACAGCTACGGTTCCGCAAGAGGCGTCTGCTTAATGGGTACCGTCGCTTTGATCCCACACGTGGTATGGAGTATATACTGGACCTCGCGCTGGAGGCCTACACCCAGAAAGGCCACAGCCAGGTCATTGCCAAACGAGTCAACCTGCTGCGACCTCTAAGTTCAGTTGAGATTATTCCCATGCCTTATGTGACAGAAGCGACACGGGTGCAGGTCATCCTGCCTGTCACCGCCCAGGATCAGGACTATGTTGGGAACTTCCTGGACATGTACGTGATGAACACTCTGGACACCCATGACAATGTTTTACTCACGTTCTTGTTCATCTACGATCCTTTCGATGCGCAGAGAGTCAGTCAGACTGACGTGTTTGCTGGCGTCAAGGCTATGATTGGGGAAGTGGAGAAACGCTACGGAGACGTGAAGATCCCCTGGATCAGTGTGAAGACCGAGGTGCCCTCGCAGGTCAAGCTAATGGACATCATCTCCAAGAAGCACCCGGTGGACACACTATTTTTCCTGGCCAGCGTTTGGACAGAGGTCAACGCTGACTTCCTGAACCGCTGCAGAATGAATTCCATCAGCAATTGGCAAGTCTTCTTCCCCATCCACTTCCAGGAGTACAACCCAGCCGTCCTCTACCGTGACCAGCAGCCCTCTGCTGCCTCCTCCTCCGCTGCTTCGGAGTCACTGCGAGACGGCCACTTTGACCGGCACGTCTTCGACGAGGCCTGCTTTTACAACGCCGACTACATGACCGCACGGACGAAGATGGCTGCCGACATCCTGGATAACGAGGAGCTCCTGGAAAGCATGGATGTGTACGACATCTTTGTCCGTTACTCGGGCCTGCATGTGTTCAGAGCAGTAGAGCCGGCGCTGATTCAGAAATACGTGCGGCGGACGTGCAATCCCCGCTTCAGCGAGGACATCTACCACCGCTGTGTTCTCAGCAACCTGGAGGGTCTGGGGTCACGCTCGCATCTAGCCATGGCTCTGTTTGAGCAAGAGCAGGCCAACAGCACATAGAGCACATAGAGCTTGGACTGAAGGACACTGAATGTGATTTTTGTTTCCTTTCTTTCTTTCTTTTTTTAAACGTGGTACTTCTTGCATCCACACACTGAAATTCTCACCCCTGAACAAGGTGGAAAGAAGTCGGGACTGTTTTTGACACTCCAGCAGCTGCAAATAAACCCTCTGACTTATGACTGTGTAACTTTAAACCTGTCTTGTCCAGACCTGTTGAACCATTACTGATGTTAACGTCACTTTGAGAAGCCGTTACTTGTATTCCGGTCGAACAACAATATTTATAGCCCCCCCCTTTTTTTTTTTCTTTTGTTTTTTTAAAGACAATAATAAATTAACATAAGCCTTTATTGTTAGAAATGAATAAGAGGGGAAAAAACTTGAGCCATAAGTCTTCCTTTTGTGAGGATTTTTTAAAGTAATACTGAAACAAGCTGCCTTTTCTTTAAACTTTGTGCTCTTTAAGAGGTATTAAAGAGTGATACTTCTGCTCAGAGTTGTTGCTTCATTCATTCAAGCTCACAGTGTAAAAGGCTCAGTCTCATTAGTCAAAACGCAGCGTGCTTGGACAGTTATTCCTGGAGGTATCTGTTGTCTGCTTGGCAGAGCTGAAGAAAAGCCAGAAAAGATTCTGTGGTCAGTAAAGATGGTGTGTTCACATTCACAATAATGTGTCTTGTAGTGTTCTCAGTTTTCCCAAAAGCTGCGTTGCAGAGAGCCCCAGAGGCAGTGAACAGTTTGTTCCAAAGCTGCCTGCTCGTCGCATTAAGTCAGTGAATCTCCACCCCTGCCCGGGCCTCCTTGAGTTTTGGCAAGCGTTCTGCATGCACGTCTTTTTTTTTTTGGGGGGGGGGGGTGAACTCAGTGCCCGGAGGGAGGGTCGGGGTCTGCAGCGGCTGAGGTGGTTAACCTTGACATGGCGGTGGTTAAACAGTCTGAAAGGCTTACTTCACTCACCTTTCTCCTGTCGGCTCGGGAGAACAGAGAAGCAGCAGAGTTAAAGGAGCTCTTTCTGAGACGGGAGCAAAGCTGCAGTCAGCATTGCAGTCAGCATTACAGCCACTGCTGCAGCTCCCCGTTGGAAGCGCCTCCACCTGCTTCCTCGTGGTGAGGCCAGTGAACAATAAAAGGCCTGTGTGCCACCTCTGAGGAGCGCCTGGCTCATGGAAGAAACGAAACCCACCAATGAGGCAGGGCACAAAGCCAGAGTGTACGGCAGGGCTGTGCATCCCCCCCCCCCGCTTTATTCTGCAGCTAATTGAAGAAACTGAAAAATTCAAAAGGCCTTTACAATGACAGAGCTCACAGAGACTGGATTCCCTGTGATCACGTGTGCATTAGCTGGGGTTTGATTGCAGGGGTGAAAAGCAAATCAGCTCACACAATACAGAATCACTCTGCTGTTCACTAAGCCAGTATTAAAAGGACACTTGACCCTAGCATATAATCCATGCCTTTCTCCTCTGCCCTGTAGTTTAGAGTTCTTTCCATTTTGGATGTATCACCTGTAGAGATGTCAGCTTTCTATTGAATATAATAGAACTTAATGGCACTCAGCTTGAGTTGCTCAAAGGGCCAAAAATTACATTTAAATAACTCAGCAGCTAAACCTGATCATTGGGGGGGAAAAAAAGCCACAAACCCAGCTGCAGGCACTTTCTTCAACTGCAAGCTGGGAAATTAATAAAATTTTGATTTCAGGTGAAATTTGGTCTTCTACCCATCAATAAAATGACTACAGTGCACTAAAATGACTAATGTTTTGTTTTGCCTCTCAGCCCATCTTTGTCATGTAGTCACATCCCTCCTCACCAGGCTGTGGCAGCTTTGCGTCACTTCATATTTATCCATTAGTTTTTTAAAATGTTATTAATAATGATTAAAGTTCAAGCAAAGTCCAGACCATTAAAATCAAGTTTTCTCTTTTATACAAACTCTTTGCCTAATCATCTTCTTCCTGATGTTTACCTCTGGGAGTCGCCACGGCAGATCTTCTGCCTCCATCTCACTGTAGCCCGCAGCTCTCTCCATGTCCTTTCACTACATCCGTGAACCTTCTCTGTGGTCTTCCTATTTTCTTCCCACCTGGTAGCTCCATATTCAATGAGTCTGAGTTTCTATGCAGTGTAACCGATACGGTTTCACTTATCTTTGAGCCAAAAAACTGCAGATGGACTACAGAGTTGAAGACTTTTCTTCTAACTCCAAAAAGCTATTTCTATAATTAAACGTTTAAGTAAAACCCTAAAGTCAGAGCTTTACGGAGTCACATGCTAAACTCATCTCACTAAGTAACTTTTGTTTCACTGCACTCAAATGAGCTCTAGTCACCAGATCAGGGATGTGGTGGGGTCAGGAGATTCTGATCATGGCTGTGCAGCACCTGTGTGATGCTGTCATGTAACCATGGACCAAACTCTGAGGAATGTTTCCAGCACCTTTCAGTGTGGAGTTTCCCTGCTCTCCCGGTACTGCGTCTTCCTCCTTCAGTCCAAAGACATCCATGTTAGGTTAAGTGTCAACTGAGTGTGAATGAAGTTGTTAAAAAAAAGACACATTAGATCTCATGTCATTTACAAACTTTGGCAAGCGCTTCTTTATTTACATCCAGGCTGTCTCGCAGTGTCACAGCTGTTTTCCCTTTTTTTTTTTTCTGTAGTATGTAATCACCAAACAAGATTTGCTCTTTACAGATATACAGCATTATGTATACTATAACCTTCCTGTCGGCGACCCTCTGACAACAGTGTAAACAGAGAAAAAGAGCAGCTCCCGCTCTTCGGGAACACATGCACGGATCGAGACAGACATGTCAACAGCACACCAGGGTTTAGTGACAGAAGACACAGCAGTTTGTTAACACTTTTATCAGACGCCGCTCGAAGCCGAGGAGCTGCAGCTCGTAGATTCCTCCACAAGAGGGTGCTAGTGAACAGCAACGTGAAGGCCTCGGCCATCCCTTCCAAGGAAAACCAAATTCTTATTATTAAATTTTAAAAAAAAAAATCACTGGGTCAGACACAGGACCGAGATACTACCTATGACTACTTTTTCTCCTCTAAAGAGTGCAGTTAATATAATTTAGTCCTAGTAACAAAAACACGCTCAGAAAAGTCACACCTACAGTTAGTTGCTGGTAGGGTATGTTGGATTTTTTTGTAGTTTTTTTTTTTGGCAAAAAAGGTTTTCAGAAGGCATTTCAACAAATGTGACGGGTCTCGCTCTCGTCACACACACACTCACACACACACTGGTATGCCAGCTTTTCATATTTACACAGACCGTCTCGCAAGGTGTGATAGTGATAGTGAACGTCCATGGAGCATGCATAGGTCATCGTGAAATCGTCCAATCGCCTTTTTTAGTACGCTGGGATGATAAAAGGGGTCTCGACCGTGACGAAGAGAGTCCCGACAAAGAGTTACAGCACAGTGCAAAGAAGTCCCCCCCCCCCAACCCACCCAATCTAGAAACTGCAGAGAAGAAAATCCTCCATCCTGACATTACAACATATACATACAACTCATGTGTCATTTAAAAAAAAACAATAACAAAACAAAACAGGTGTAACATGAGAACGGTGCAGATTATATCACGAGTTACAGCTACTGAGACTCAGCGCGAGGGAGGGCTCTCTCTCTGTTGCAGCTTCCAGCTCCCACGATGCACACGGGATAGACCTAAAATAAATCATCCCGAACCCAAGATAGTACACAGAAGAACACTAACATTCCTGCCCTACTAACTCAAAACTCATGGAGCTCCCATACTGCAACACCCCCTCCCGAAATCCTCCAAAACAAACACACACACACGCTCGCACACACACGCGCACACACAGATAGTCTGTCGTATACTGTACAGCTGGCCCTCTTAAGGGGAAGAAAAAAAAACATATTTACATTCACATCTGTAGAAAAGAAATTCATTTCTCTCTTTTTTTTTAAAATGCGTGTGTTTGTAACATAAAAAAATGCAGAAATAGACAAAAATCCACAGAGCTGAGGTTAAAAGTTCACTGATGCAAGAGTTCAAGAGTTAAGGAAAGCTTTTGGGAGCACTTTTTTTTTTTTAAATACTCTGGCGTGTTTGGATTTATTCAGTCGTTTCTGTTAAACCCAGGTCTGGGATTTTGCCAACGTCTGTTTCAGTGATCGCTCTCTCTTCTCGCTGCAACCTTTGGTAAAACCTTCGGGACGCTAACGGGCAAAAAGTACGACGCGACAAAGAGGCAGTGAGTGACGGAACATTTAGAGGCGTATCTGTTTCTCTATGATTATTATGTTCAGGATCAATACTGTTTGTTTGTTTTCCCTTCATCGAAACACTTATTCTTACTACAGTATAAACAGATGGAGCTGATAATGTCATAATACTTCAGTTTGGTTAATTTACTGTAAAAAGAAGTCTTTTTTTTTATTCTATTCTTTTTTTTTCTATCCACACCTCTGGTTTGCGTGCAGCATCCTGTGCAACCACCCGGTGCGTCACGCTGTCGTCGCGACTTTGCTGGTGTAATTAATCGACAATTGGAGCACGCTCTCCCCCTAACGAGGACAAAGGAAAAGCACTCTCTCCAAAAAGAATACGAAAACAAAATAAAGACTCATCCAGAGCAGCCGCGGGGCTCTGACTGTGTCAGCGGGTTACGTCATGAGCGTTTGTCACTGCACAGTCTTGAGACGAGAATCCGAAAACACAGTGGCGTGCGAGCAGCTGGTCGAGAAGGAGCTTTTCTAGTGACGTTTATTTACAGAGCGGAAACTGGCGTCGTCCTCCGAGGGGATGAATCCACGCTTTCAACCGCGATGCCTTCGCAGTCCTGCGCTAACACGGGACGTGGAGGAGACGGGGGACCACAGTACGCTGCTGCTGTCTGGTGAACCCCTCCTCTGATTACACTTCAAAACACAGCTATGAAATTGATTAGTCACCTCTGAGATGAAGCCTCCTTTAGACTGTAGAGGTTTAAGGAATCACCAGACATCAGCAATGACCACACACACACACACACACACACACACACACACACACACACACACACACACACACACACACACACACACACAGGAGCGGCTCTGAAATCAGACTCAGGAATCCAGGAGGGCCTCTTTTGTTTAGGTGTTGCGGACCGCTAAGGCCTGTTCCAGCTCCTGTCTCCTCTGCTGGATCTGTCACGGGGAAGAGCAGAAGGAGGTAAATCTGACTGCTGTCATGCGAACATATGGAAGCAGAGCTTGCAGGTAAAGGTGTCCGCAAGTCACCTTGCAGTAGAAATAGCGGCTGACGGCCTCTTGGGACCATGGTTCGTGGTAGAACGCCGCCCTCCGCTCCTCTTCAGGGTTCCCCACCACGTCTGTCATTAACTGCGGCCGAAGAGACGACGAAGCCGTTACAAGCAGGTCTATTTTTAGCATTAATTAACAAAATAATCTATGAAGTCTGCAGCGGGCAGCGATCGAGCCGCTTGTTCTCCCGATAGTTCATCTCAAAAACTGCCAAACTGAAGCCTTGAGGGCACTCCAGCTGGGTTTGGGCTTTTAGTTTGTGCATTTATTGCTAAACAGTAATTATAGTTATTAATTGAATAAAGCAAATGAATACCCATTAGTGCAATTAAAATGTCAGCCAAAGAGAAATCATCACTATTAAATGACCCCCCGCCCCTTTAGTTTCTTTAATTTTCATTAATGAATTCTTCTGCTTTTTATTTTCCACTTTCATTCAACATCCACAGGACGTCTGTCGGCTAACATGCAGGCTTGATAGATATGAAAAGAAGTGTGCAACCTTAAAGTCTCGGCTCTGGGATTTGAGCCAGTCCTGGATGTAGCCCTTGGGATCTCTGGAGAAACTCAGCATGAAATCCCTCTGGATCTTCAGCTGATTGATTGACTCGATGGTCTCATGGATCTGAACGGAAACACACACATCACACGTCACAGCGCTGTTGCTGTTTGTTCATTTGACGCTGCAAAAAAGCAAAATATCTCAGGAAAACTGACTTTATCTAACAGTGGGAGGAGGACGGAGACTTCTGATCCGAAGCTGCCGACCTCAGCAGCACAGAGGCTAACAGCAAACCTCTGTGTCAAATCTACGCCGTAGGCTGGAAATGTTATAGAGCCTGTACTCTACTGTGATTGGCTTATTCAGTCAATTCCTCCTGTGCGTTTCTGGCTACTTTTTTTGTCGCAATTGTTGAATTTTTCAGTGATTTATCATCTCCTCGTTGCAAGAACTCACAGATGACAGCAATGTCCTGGGAATAAATGTGAAGGACCATAAAATGTGGGGGAAAGTTGAGAACAAATAAGTTTGCCTGAGAAAAAAAAAAAAACCTGACCATGACAAAGAGCGGGAGGGAACAAAATCCCAGCATTTGTTTCTGTCGTGGCAGGCTCTGCATATAAAGATCCCGAAGTCTAACCCACCTGGAAAGGCGAGTAGGGTAAATTTTCACTGATCTGCCTCAACTGACTCGTGACATGCTGACAGGTATTCTCTTGTATTACAAGTTTTCTTGAATTTTATTGATCAAATATAAAACCGAGGGAATCTAAACACCCGATAAAGGCGAAGGATTTTACACATTTTCTTATCTTTTTAAAATTCACTAT